GCCGTCTGTGCATTGATGGCGGTGGTTTCGGCATGGGCACTCCTGAGATTGCCAGATGTTCGTGGGCCGTGGTCCAGTTGCGAGACGACGGCTGGCCCTGTAAGGCGATTGTCGGTATCTTTCCAGGGTGCAGACGGTGGCCAGAGCTGAGATATGCTGGGCTGATCGCTACTTGCCTCTCCCCTCAGGTCACTAGCCTTGTCTCGGACTACTTAAGTTGTGGAGGAAGGGCAAGGGTGGAGCCCTCGCGACGCGTTCGCCTCGGCTCGCCATGCTGCTTTCTGGAGAGCCCCGCGTGCCACGGTGGCCCGCCAAGACAGGGGGCCGCCGCCGTTTGGATGGATTTCCTCGCACAAATCCCTGGCCCAGGCTATTGAGCTCAATCTTGACCTCCAGGATTGGCTCGGCAATGGGTGGGCCGACCTGTTTGCCAGTGTTGCCCTGGACCTGGCCAACCCCGCCAAGAGCTTGGTTCGTAGTCTTAAGTGTTGCCTGGAGGAGGCCTGCCTGGGCGCTCTGCTCGCGTGGCTTGGCTCGGGCGTTTGGGGCCCCTTGGAGGCTGGCCCTCGGCGACCTCCCCCCGAACAACGGCCGCCTAAACTGCCCGCGTTTGTTGGGCGCGAGTTTGCGGAGCTCCCTGGGGGGGGGGGGGGGGGGGCCGTTGCATGGCTTGCAACCGCGTCGCCCGCGCGGCGCAGACCATGCGATGTCTTGAATCGTTTCCCTGCGTGGATTCCCGCCTGGCCAGGCTCCGCGCCCAGGCGGCCGCGCAGGCCGAGGTGGTCAGCCTGGCCCCTTTTCCGCGCCCCTCCCCCACGGTGGCCTTGGCCCCGGCCGCTGCTGTCGCCGTCGCCGCCGCTTCGGCCCCAGCTAAGAGGGCCGAGACTGGCCGTGGTAGGGGGGGGGCGAGCCGCTCGCCCAGGCGGCAAGAGGACGACCCTGCCCCCTTCTGCGCCCCCGCACAGGACTCGATGCGCGGAACCCAGTCGTCCCGAGCCTTCGAGCTGGATATATCTGCCCGCGTGCTGGCCTCGACCGAGCCCTCGGGCCCGTCTGGGCGCTGGTTTGCCTCGGAGGTCGCGGGCTCGGGCCCCGACGCTTCCCCCTCGGAGCGTCCCGAAAGCAGCCTTTCGGACGATGCCCGACGCGCTGCGATCGTGGATCGCCTTCTCAGAGCGGCGGGGGGTGCACCTGCCGCCCTTGCCTCTCACCGCGCCCCCTTCCCCTCCTAAGCCCCCCTCGGGCGGTTTGCTGGAGGCCCCCCTGGAGGAGCTGGAGGAGTCGGCGTGCGAGGTGGCTGGGAGGGCGGGGGGCCGCGCGACGCGAACGCGGTCGAGCAGCCCTGCCTCGCCGACGGCGGCGCCGGCAGCGCCCCCGCCACCGACGGCGCCTGCTGCTGCAACGCGGGCCCCGCGAATGCGGGGCTAGGCAGCCCGCGGCCGTGCCGCGACCGCCGCTGCCGCCGAGGGGGAGGGCGGGGAGGCGGGTGGGCCTCTTTCGGGTGGGTCGGAGGAGGTCGTCCTGGACCGAGGCCACGAGATCCTCGCTCGGCCCCCCTATACTTTCTGCCGCAGATGTGGCGCCTTGTCCAAGAAGCAGGTTCGAAGTTTGTCTTCAGCCTGCCCTAGCACGCCCCCTGCGCCTCGGCAGCGCACGACGCCCGCCGAGCGTGGGCGAGCTCGTCGGAGGGATCGGCTTGTTCAGGGGCTCCACCCGATGACGGGTAAGGCTTTGGGCTCGGGGCCACAGGCCGCCGCTCCCTCCCAGGGGTGAGAGTTGTTCTCGGTTTGTCCCTGGCTTCCGAGGGGTTCGGAGGCTCCTTGGTCAGCGATTTGGGGATCGCTTGCTGCTGAGTTTCTGGTTTTGCCCATGGGCTCCAAAACGGCCCATGCGGGCCCCGCTGGTTCAGGCCGCGGTCCGTTGCCCCTAGATGCGGGACGTGCGCCCTTGATTGCCCGACGCACACACACGCACACACACACACACACGCACACACACACACACACACACACCCCTACACACCTACACACACACTCACACACACATTCACTCAATCACTCACACATTCACACACACTCACACACACACACTCACACACTCACACACACTCACACACACGCGCACACAAACACAAACACACACACACACACACGCCACGCACGCACACGTTTTTCTTCCACCGGCCAAGTGGACGCACTGCAGCGAGTGATCGGTTGGTTTCAGTGGGCGTTGCAGGCGGGGGTCTGCGCTGGGCGAGCACGCGTGCATATCTACCCAAGCAATGTGCCCTCATAGCAGCAAAGGGGAAGCAGCGGTGGGCTACAGGGGACATGGTGTGAGAGCACGGCCATGTGCACCTCATTTTTTTTACAAGGCACCGTGGCCGTCCGGACCAAACATGTAGCCCTCATTGAGGCGATATCACGATCCTTGGGTAAACTGTGTGGAATTCTCCGGCGACGCGGCTGCCGGACCAAGCGATCTAGGGAGGCGGTCTCGGATTTCTTGTCCCCTTGTGGGACCCTTCTGTTGTCCTTCGCGCATCTCTTCGCATGGGGATCCTCTTCCACCGTTGTGGAAATCCTCGATAGCGACATGCGATCCGAGACAAGCAGCGCCCAGATCATGTAGTGGAAGACAGCTGCAGAGCCTGTGCCATGCAACGGCGCTCAGACCCCAAGCCCGAGCGGGCGGAGAGAGCGCGAGGACAGACGCGCAGAGCGAGCTGGGCGCCCCCTCGAGCTCGCGCGCACGCGCGCACGCACAGCCAGTGTTCGCGCGCGACTCACGCAGCGCCACCCCGGCCCGAGCTGCCGGGCCCAGCGGGTGCTTGGCAGCGGCGATTCCTCCTCCTCCTCATCCTCCCCCTCGTCCTCCTCCTCCTCCTCCTCTTTTTCCTCCTCCTCCTCCTCCTCCTCCTCCTCCTCCTCTTCCTCTTCCTCTTCCTCTTCCTGTTCCTCCTCCTCCCCCTCCTCCTCCTCCTCCTCCTCCTCCTCCTCCTCCTCCTCTTCCTCCTCCGCGCGATGGCGCCGTGCGCGAAGCCGCGGCGGCCGACCGAGGACGAGGTGCGGAGGCGTTGGGCGGCCCTGGACAGCGCGAGGCGGCGTGCCACGACCAGCTTCGACGACCCAGGGCTCGTGGGGCTCATCCGCCGGGGCGTGTACATGCTGCTGCAGAGGCAGCTGCTGGACGAGCGCGCGGGTCGGCGCCCGAGGCACCTGGGCGCCCCCGACCTGTGCGCCGATTCGGGCCTACTGAGGGAGGTGTTCGACCTGCGGTGGAAGACGGAGGTGGCCGAGGAGCTTCCCGGGGCTATACTGATGAACCCAGACATCCAGGAGCCCGCGATGGGTCTCAAGGAAACTGCACTGCAGGGGGACGCCATCTTCGACACCTTCCGGCGCGTGCTCCCGGACTTCCTGGCGCCTGCCGCGCGGAGGCGGGTTCCTCTGCACCGGGCGCGCTGGAAGACGCTGTGGGCCTCGGAGCCAAGCAGCGTGGGGGCCCTGGAGCTGTTGCTGGCGCAGACAGCGGAGCAGGCGCTCTGGGCGCTTGGGTCAGACCCGGCCTTCGGTGCGCCGGCGGAGGCAGTGCCCGCTGCCGAGTGCCACGAGGCGGAGGTGCCGCTCGAAGACTGGATGGTCAGCGACATGACACAGATCGTGCAGGGCGGGAAGGCGAAGCCAAGCAAGACGAAGGCCAAGAGGAGGCAGCCCACCACCCGCGGAAAAGCTCCGGGGGACGAGCCCTCGGCCGACGCTGCCGGCGACGCCACGCTTGCGGGAGCCGAGCCCGGGTGCGCCGGCGCCGAGCCCAGCGAGCTTGCGGGCGGGCCCGGGGAGCACGATGGCGCGTGGCCCGCGGCGGAGTCGTCTACGCCGCGCGCCCAGCTGCCCGAGCGGCCAGAGGGGCCGCGCGCCGCGGGAGGCGCGGAGGCGGCGGCGAGGCTGCACCCGGAGTTCGTGGAGAGGCCCGTGGTGCACGACCACTACTGGGGGTCGCAGGAGCACTGGAGCCGCCCGGCGCTGCAGTGGTGCCTGCCGTCCGGAGCGTGGAGGCACGGGCGCCTCGCGCGGCAGGCGAGAGACGCCCCGCCGGCGGACACCGCCGCGGTCGTGCAGGTCAGCAACACGTTCATCACCGTCCAGGAGGCGGTTGCCTCCCCGTCCAGGCAGCGGCGGACGCGCTCGCTGTCCGCCGGCCGCGGCCAGGAGGCGGACCTCGACTGGTACGACTTCTGGCACTGACCTCGCGCATCGGCGGCGCGCCCAGGGCGGAAGGTAAACGCGTGTGTGTGTGTGTGTGTGTGTGTGTGTGTGGATGTGTGTGTGTGTGTGTGAGTGTGTGAGTGTGTGAGTGTGTGAGTGTGTGTGTGTGTGTGTGTGGGCGTCTCGAGAGGCTCAGAAGGCTTCAAACTTTACGAGATCGATGGTTCAACAATGGAGTCTTGAGGGATGGTGTCCTGAGAACGAGGTGCCTCAAACAATGTATATCCGCCCTCGGATCCCTTCCTATCCTTAGGACCCCATCCTGCAGGACCCCATCTTTGAACCACCGATGAGGAGCTTTCCAAACCGCCGCCTCCGAAGCAACGGAGGGCTTTTCAGAAGGCCCTTCGCCCTCCGAGGAG